CGGCTCGACTACATCGGGAAACCCAACGCCTTGATCCTCAAAGGGAGTCCTTTGTAGAACTAATGATAGAGTGCGCTTTTGCCCAAACTTTGGATTTGGGAGACAAGACAGTTGAATTTGACCACATACTTGTTCAGATATTGGTTCTCGCACATCTGGAGGTGCTCAATCTGAGACCCCGCATCTCCAGTGGGGTTTTGAGGCCCAAAATTTGAGCAGAGTTCAGAGTAATTGTCTATCCACATGAGAATAGTGGTGAGATTGTCTGGGGTCAGGATATTTGGTCAAACCAATCCAACACCATTCCCTTAAGGAAGGAGATAATGTAATTGATCTTGGCCCGATCAGTACGGAATGCGCCCGGACAATTGTTAAAGTTCAGTTGACACTGCATGATGATGGAGCCAAGCTTCCTGGGATCAGAACCATTGAAAGTGTCTGGCTCTGTAATCTTAGTGCATGTGGAACTGCCATTGGGGTTGCGCCTGGAGGATCTGGCAAGGAAGGTAATTGCCTGGGCCAGAATGAGGTGCTCAGCATCCTTGTTCCCTGGCTTAATGTGAGGTAGCTTCACAGGAGTGGGCATCAGAGAATCCGGAGCAGAATTTGGGGTGCAAGGAGAGTTAGGGGGGATTGGGGCACTCCTGGGGGTATGAGAAGAAGTTGGGTGTTGAGGGGTCATGGAAATCAATTGTGCCTCTAGGGGTCAAAAAGCAGAAAAACTGAGGAATTTGGTGTTGCCCTATGAGGTGTTACATACATGTTTGACCATGGAAGAGATATGGAGGGTCCGGGAAGTGTCAGTTTGAATATACTGTCAGAACCACAACCTTTGGAGGAGCAGAGTTTGGAGTGTGGAGGTGAAGTGGAGAGCAGGACAGAGTACAAGATTGGGGATTGTCTTAGCTTGTACGCTAGGCCCTTCTGCGGACCTTGGTCCCTAACTTGTCAGAGTGAATGGGTGAGAGTGGAGGATGAAAGGTGGAGTGGAGTAAAGATCCCTCGGAGAAGGACCAGAAAACTTAGAAGGAGATTTGAACAAAGGTGAGGGGAGCTAGTTGATATTCAAACTATAGGAACAGAGTACAAGAGCTATGACTTATATACTATCAGAGGGATTGGAGTTTGTAAGGAGTAACCTATAATGTAGGTACAAAGTTCCATGCGGACAATTATCTAGCAAGGGGAAATTATATGTGAGGGGAATGTACCATAAGGTCTAAATTACAGAGTCCGTGAGGAATATGAATGTGCAGAGAATATATATGGCGGACTAGAAGTCCGGTGCAGGAGAATTGTAAATAGATCTTTAAATTTGTTATCTGAAGTATGTACTTGTATTCAAAAATATGACTGTAATATTTAACATACCACCGCTGCACCAGTGTCTCCCTTGGAGTGTGGCCCCAGTGAGACAAATACTAGGGTGCTTGATTCAGGTAAAAATACAAATAAAAATATAGAAAAACCTAAAGTAGAAAAACATGTTTCTTTGATATTTTTTCTTCTTCTTTGGAGCCACATATGTTGATACACACATATTTATTCCAAAGGAGATCTGTTTAGATGTTGGTGTGGAAGACCTTGCCCAAGGCACAATACACCCAACAAGTACTGTTGATGATGAAGATTAAAACCACACACAAACAAACTAACAAAACAATTCTCCCAGATTTTACAGAACTTGTTTATGGGCTTTGCCTCCTAGAACAGTGGGTGGTCTGGTTATTCGTGGGGTAGTATGTACAGTAACTCCAAAAACCATTGCAATGTTTGGCCTAACCGTGGTGCGCAAAGTGCACCACCAACAGGTGTGGGGATTTTGCTTAGCTTTAGTGAAGTTGACAAAGTACTTGGTTTTGGCTACAGAATGGTTCATGAGTCATGTGATTTGGCCCAGTGGCTGTGAAGAAATGTCCATTTCAAAACAGCAATACCATTGCAATTGTTTTTCACTTTTGGTATCAAGGGAGATATATAGGGAATATCAGTACTTGGTATAGCCTCCTTTTGCCTTGAGTACTGTCTGAATCCTCCTAGGCATGCTTTCAATTAAGTTGCAACACTCTGCAACTGCTATCTTCTCCCACTCTACTTGAATCCTCTCCCACAACTCCTCCAGCCTCCTCTTGAGATAACCCCATCCATGTTCAATAGGATTAAGGTCAGGAGACTGTGCAGGCCACACCATAGTTCTAAACTCTGCTCATCTGGCTACTCCTTGACCTTTTTGCAGGTATGCTTGGGGTCATTGTCTTGCTGAAAGATGATGTCAAGAGGATTGAGACCATAATATTGCAGGTTATTCAGCAGCTCATCCTTCAAAACCTGAGGGTAAAGGTCCCTATTGATCCTACCATCAATTCTAGCAGCATACCCAACTCCCTCCCAAGTCATACAGCCCAGATCATCATGGATCCTCCTCCAAATTTGACAATTCCCTGTACCAATCTATCACTGAGCCCCTCACCTGGCTTTTTCCAGACCCACTTGTGTCTATCTGACCCCAGGCAATTGATTTTGGTCTCATCAGACCATACAACCTTCTTCCAATCCTCCACAGTCCAGTCCTTGTGAGCATAAGCAAAGTCCAACCTAGCCAAACAATACTTGGCAGAGAGAAGAGGATATTTCTGCTTGACCACAGTCTTCATGCCAGTCTTTTTCAAGTGCTGGCTGACAGTATTTGGGGAGAGAGGTTGGTTGATGATGTTGGTAAGAGCTTTGGTGATCTGGACAGCATTTTCTGCCTTGTAAGTGGAGATGAGATGTATGACATGGCAGACATTAGAAGGAGAAACCTTGGATGGACGACCTCCAACAGACTTTGGGAGCTCAGAACACTCTTGGAGCAAAGTCTAGAGATGGTAGAAACATAGACACCAGTGGTAGAGGCAATGGAGTGAGCAGTTTGGCATGCATCAAGGAGGTTAAGAATCTGGTTCTTTTGAGCAGGAGAGAGGGATTTCATGATGATGATGGTTGAGAAAAAAAAGTGTGTGTGAACTTTTACAAACTCAGACACAATGTTTATATGTGTATCTTTGTTTGTAGGACCAAACAAAGCCAAATATTCTATGATATCATTGTGATCTCTGCTTCCAACTCAAAAGTGAAAAAAACTATTGCAATGGTATTGCTGTTTTGAAATGGATATACCTTTACAGCCACTGGGCCAAATCACATGACCCAGGAACCATTTTGTAGCCAAGACCAAGTACTTTTGTCAACCCCATAAAAGCTAAGCAAGATTTCCGCGTCTGTTGGCGGTGCACTTTGCACACTGCGTTTAGGCCAAACATTGCAACAGTTTTGGAGCCACTGTAGCAAGACAATGAACTTACAGATTTGCCTCATATTGGATAAAAACAGAGCAAAGCCAGTTGAATTGAGTGCAAGTTTGAGATCAAAATGATCCTATTTGTATTTTACCAAAAGTGTGATTGATGATACCAATAAATATATATAGCAATATAACTATCATTCACACCATTTTTTATGACCTCTATCAATTCCTCTATCAATTTATATAATCTCAGTTTGGTACATGGTTTGGGCATCTTTACTGTTGCCCAAACTGCATTCAAACAGGTTCAAATTAATGAACCAAACCTTGGTCTTCCATCCAAAAACTGAACTTATTATCTTACTATAGCATTTGTAACTTAAAATAGGGATTTTATATAAATTATATTCCACCAAACTCATCACTTGCAATAAAAAGGAGCATCCAACACCATTGAAAAAAAACCAGCATGAGGTCTGGCCCACATTAATAACATCCAGATGATGGTGCTAGCCATCATTATTTCAGTGCACCACCAACATCAGTGTGACAGTTTGTAGTGATCATATAATAGATGCCAACTCTACATGATCAGTGCCCCACTGGTACCATAGTAGTAATTCAAAGAGGACAGCCTACACACATGGAAATATCACACACAATAACACTTGGTACAGCCCACACCTGGGGATGTCCCAAGGAGAACAAGGCTATTACAATACACAATTTTCGGACCTTTAATTTTCATTCTCCTCTTTAACTTTCTTCTGTAGTTTTCACACACTGTGCCATGTGGCACTTTCTATTTTGTTCCAACTCCACATTCTCGCGCTGCGCTACCTTGCTTTATTTTTAGCTACAAAATATCTCACGCAGCAGAGCTGGTTACATGGGCTCCGCCGTATGATATCATCAGCCACTGCCCCCATCAACTGTATAGTACACATGTATAAACAACCTGTAGTAGTATAAATACCCAATAGATCCAGGAAACTCCTCAGCGAGTCCTCCTGTTGTTTACCCACAACAAACTCAGTCCTTTCTAAAGGGTAACCACTCCCCTCACTTCCTTAAAGCTTTGCCTGAGTTGTGTGCCAGAGTATACAAACTCTTGGTTGTAACAAAAGCTCTTAGCCACATCATAATTCAAGCTAAGAGCCCAGACAGCTGGGGGTGGTTAAAGATTGAATCCTCAGGATGCAAACAATAGTACTGACCATTCCCAGATAGTGTTTACAGATTGTACAAGAGGTTTATAACCAAGACAACTGCACAGAAGGCTACAGATGCATTCCATGCTGTTAAATACTCTTGACTGACGGGAGCATTGACATTTCTCAACTCGGGGAACAGCCTTATTAATTTGTGCAGTCTGGCAATGCCCAACAACTTGAGTATATCAAATAAGGTTTTCAAAAAACCCAATTCTCTTTGAATGCTAAGGTCTGCATGCAATAATAGTTCCACTTAACCCTGTGGTCTGGGTTTGCACAGTATGCAGGAGAGTGATATGAGAGTGAGTGCTAGTGTGACAATACCCTAAAGTTGATAGACTCTGGTGCACACAGCAAGGTACTCAAAAAGAAGTGATGATATAGGAGTGAGTTGTTAGACTCAGAGGTGGGAGGGAGCTGGTTGATGGTATTCCACAGGAGGACCCACTGAGGAGCCTCTATCTATTGCAAGGGTATTTATACCTAAATACATGTGGTACTGTATAGTTAATATAAATAAAGGTAAATGCTCTCTAGTGTTTTATTGTATTGTATATGATGTCATAGCATATGATCAGTCAAATATATTTAGGCCTAGACATTGGTCAGGTGATGTGTCACATGATCAGTCACATGACTTTTAAAGAAAAATACAAATAAAAATAAAAGTGAAAATCAATATCAAAAATACTGAAGATAATTATCAGAATAATTTCCAGGACATTACATAGGTGTGCTATAGGAAGTACCTCATCAGCTAGCTGCTTGTGTCCAAAGTCCAAAAAATGGTTATGTACATTTTATACATTATATTTTCTAAGCCTACAAGATGTAGTGAATACGTGCTCTGGTATGTATATGCTTAGTAAGCTCAAAAAAATAGTCAATGTGTGGTTTTGGGTTCAATTCCCAGCCACAATTTTGCTATAGGAACTGGACGCAGCTATTAAACTTATAAGGGCTTTGATAGCTATCTGGGATTTTCCTGATGTGCACTCTGCTCACATATGATTTCCTCTCACTAGATAATTGTCTGCATGGAACTCTGTACCTACATTATAAGATACTCCTTATGAACCTGATTCTCTCCCATAGTATATATCACAACACAATGGGATCCGCACCCGTGTACAGTGATTCTGGACCTTCTGGGCACGCAACCAATCAGTATGCTTTCCAAGTACGCCTTGGTAGCTTAGTTGGTAAAGCACCAGACCATGAAAGCTGGAGTCCCAGGTCCTAGCCCTGGCTAATGCATGTTTTCTCATACTATAAATAAATGTCATAATTTGTCAGTATATAAGTTATAACTCCTGTACTCTATTCCTATGGTTCAAATATTAACAAGTTCCCTATACCTTGTTACCAGTCCTTTTATAAGTCTTCCTGGTCCTTTTCTGGAAGACCTTTATTCTTCTCCCATTGTCTCCTTATTCTCTCTTTGTTCTTTTGTTCGGTTAGGGACCACTGTCTGCAGAACGGTCTAACACATGAGCTAAGCCAACTCCCAACCTCATACTCTACTCTGTTTCTCAGTACTCACCCTATAACTTGTTAGTTTTGGTGATTCTGCACCTAGTTGTGCTATCTATTTTCCCTTCTCTCTAAATCACTTTCCTCTTTATTCTTTTTGCTCTATTGTTCAGTATTCACTGAGCATTCTATAACTTCGCCTTTGTGGCTGATTTGTTTACCTTTGTTTACAAAACTTCGGACTAGTATTACAGAGTCCAGTATTCCTATTCTTTAGTTACTCATACTGGACTCTAGGTACTGTACACATTCTGTACTCTCTGATAATAGAGTTACTCATACTGGACTCTAGTTCTGTCCCTGTTAGCTCTCAACAAGTGGCTAGACACTTCCCAGAAGTTCTCAATTGAACAGGTTATGAGTCCTGGTGCTTTATTGTGCTATTTTATAAGCTTAGTCATTCTTACATGTTTGGCTATGTTTATACACTTACCATATATGGATATGTCAGATCAGGAGGGAGTGTTAGAATATACTCTGACATACCAATACCCCATAGGATAATACCTCTGATTTGTAAGCCAATCCAGTATGCAGCAGCTATACTGTGTATGACATCTGTGGTTGCATGTCATGTTTAAGATCCTACAATGTATAACCTTGGCCATATAGCTCAATTGGTAGAGCAACTGGCATGTATCCAGAAGGTTCCAGGTTCAATCCCTGGTCTGGTTATTATCCAATTTTATCATAACTCTGGCAAATCCAAAGGTCATCTGATGGAGAAGGACCATTTGTATAATTTAAATAGCATAACCATCCTATCATTGTCAATTTAATCTGGACATCAAACCTCTAGTGCCTTTTACTGCATCAAGCTCAGTGGGTTTCTTTGCACAATGCCACTGGCTGTGCAACACTAACAATCTCAACTACAATGTAACATATATGTTAGCTCAATGTTGTCCACAGAGTAGAAAGGCAATGCACTTACTCACCTTTCATCAACCAGTACAGTACCACCCAAGTTCTTTGCTGTTTGACATACACTTTGCCAAATGAGACTCACTAGCCAGCTCACATTGGTGCCCTCTTTGCAAATATACATGTTTTTCTGCTTGACATTAATATGAAGCTTGGGTACCATCAGTACTGCACTTCCTAACTCTATGTTGATCTGAGAAGGAGTTGAATTGCTCTCAATAATAAAAGTCACCTTCAGCTATTTTAGAAATACTGTCAAGGTTAAATTGACTATGTGAGTCCAAATTAAAGGCCTGAGTTTGGCAGAATGTTATGAATGAGTGTATGTATTGTTTTACTTTGCATATGATATTGTGAAGTACTTGAGTGGTGATTTCTCCATGCCCTACAATAATGAGAATACACCATCATAAATGAAGACATTTGTGAGGTAAATGCCCAGGACTAACAGTGATCAGATGAAGGTTTTTCCTGAGCTAATTGATGATACCCAAATTGGTATCTAGTCTATTTTGAACTATTTTCTTGTTATGCTTCTTGGCACTGGTGCTATGAACATGTTTAGTAAAGGCAGATGTGATAGAACTTAAGGGATTCTTAACTCTATCTATGGAGGAAGGGTTATCTGTTGTGTTGATTTGCACACCTATTTGCATTTTATTGTGCATGCAGTTTGCTGTAAAAAAAAAAAAAATGTCAATTAGTAAATACATACAGCAAAGTAACAATATCAGGTTTTTACTACCTCTAAACTAGTGTTGCCACAAGTTCACAAGAAATATATTTATTTGACTAATAATAAATACAGTGCTGATATCTATTGTGACTCCTTTCTGAGCCTGGATGCATTGGCAAGTACTGTCAGCATATCCAGCTCTTCTATCATTGATCTATTGGCCTTAGACCTTACACAAAACTAGCACCACCTACAGAAAAGGGGAAAAAGGTGATAGGGAGTATCTTCAGGGCTTCAAAAGTGTTCACTGCATAGTAGGTTTTACTTTCTTGAAAGCTTACTAATATACTGAC